GAGGAACGGCGGGAGGTAGTTATTCTGTCTGGAGAAGACAAAGCCGAAATGCTACTAAATTGCACTTTCTGACAATGACGGGAAGAGTTTCTTTCTCGGTATTATGCCTGTAGAAAACTGAGAAGCTGGAATCAGTGAGAGTCATTATAGTAACAAAATCCATTTCCTTGTGGATGGATGAGTCTGTCAAAATGCTATGAAAATGAGAGCCTTGTACAATTCCAAGGGGGTCTCAAGATCTCTGCACTGTGGCAAATGTACATTCCACAGCACAGATGCTCAGAGGGAAAAAAATGACAGTTGGTCTAAAGTTTTCAGTGATTCCTGCTTGTTCTTTATTTCACTTGCCTTAGAATGTGGGGGCCATTTGTTTCATGTAATGTGAACCCACTGCATTTAACTGTAGGTTATTGATGGTTATGAATGGTAGGAGAGAGGTTGTGGTGGAGAGAGAAATAAAAGTGGCAAAGTTCGGAAACTTTGCTATATGTTCCTGCCATTTGATATTCAATATACTTTGGGGTGCTTCACAGTCTTAACAGAAAACACCTATTATCATTCACTGCAATGAGGTTGCACGTCTTGCTTCTAGTAGCCTTCTAAGATGTGTAGACTGTTCTATGATAAGGAGCTGGTTCTTCAGTGTATGGGCTTGTGAAATAGTTCTATTAAAAGCTGAAAAGGTAGTCATCAGTAAGCTCCAAGCCAATTTGTATAAAATGTGCGCTAGTCTCACGGTGTGCATGATACAGGCAGTCTTGGTGCCACACACCCAATTCACAAACACACTCTCTGCTAGTATTCCTTTAGTCAGAACGCTGCCTTCTCACCTTTCTTGGGAAAGGGGAGAAGGTTATTACATCGTGTTCATTCAATCGTCTTTATTCCTTTTTTTTCTAGACCAGTTTTCTAAGGAAAATATACTCTCCCATGTCCCTCTGCTTCAGCTGTGATACTACAAAAATTTTCAGAGGTGCCTGGGTGGCTCAGTCAGTTAAGCATCTGCCTTCAGCTCAGGTCATGATCCCAGAGTCCTGGGATCAAGCCCCGCATAGGGTTTCCTGCTCAGCGGGGAGTCTGCTTCTCCCTCAGCCCCTCTCTCCCACTCACGCTCTATCTCAAATAAATAAGGTCTTTTTTTTTTTTTTTGATCTTCATGTCTAAAAACATGAAGCCCACTCACAGATCTGGATCCTAGAAAAGAAAAAAATTAAGCTTTGAAGTAAAATTGGATATACTGGAACCAGGAGCCTCCATTTCAAATGTCAATTCTGTATTTCCCAGAATATCTACAACGGTCTCTACTTCTCCACACTCTTGCAGAGCCACACAGAAGATAACTGAAACATCCTATTCATTAGTTACATTTACATATCCCAGTAGTATTGTGCAATATCCCGGTATTTCAAATGCAAAGCATTCCTGTTAGTTACTGGGCTGGGCTGGGAATCTTCAAATTATAATGTTGTTCCAATGGGAAAATACGTAAAAAGTTCAAGAGGGCCATGCCCATCCATTAACTTGGAATTAAATGTTAGGAATGGCCTCAAGAATCATCATCACCATCAACAATGACTGATTTCTTAGTCTGCATAGGGTTATTTACTGTGGAGACACAAAGGGGTGAGTCTTAATACCTTCCTGTCAGTGTATGAATGGACAGGTCAGAGCAGCAGTAAATGCCACATGGGCACAAAGTCTAGCAAGTGCCGCAGGAAGGCACAGTTTGGGAAGGCCTCCTAACCTGGACCCATGTCCTGGTCCTAGAACGTTTAAACTTAAGCAGACAGAGGAAATGGGATGGACAAAGGTACACACTGGTGGGGATGTGCAGGTTTAAGGGAAGAGACTAGGCCGTTTTAGTTGGAAGAGTGTTCTGATGGAAAGCAACAAACCATCCTGAAGACCTAGGTGACACGGGCTACAGAATCTTACAAGTGAAGCCCGGTCAGCAGAGGGGAGATGATGGATCTCTCAACCAGAGAGCACGGGCATGGTGTTCTCTCTAATCCCAGCTGCCCCAGGCCAGGAGAGGGAAGAAACCGAGGCGGGAGAACCAATTAGAGCAGTGTGAGAAAGGCGCTAAGCACCAAGAAATGATGGGCGACTCACAGGTGGGAGAGAAAGTCCGTTTTTCCCATTAGAAGTCTCTGGAAAGCATTTCCATGGTGAAAATACTACAGCATTTGTTCACTGTGCTATGAGGATCAATAAACTTTTGTCGCATGTAGTTGGGGGTCAGAGGAAGGATGTATTCCTGCCCGAAGGGGGGAAAAGGGAAGTTAAAAGAAAGGGATTGGTAGAGAGGCTCGAATGAAGTTCACCTTGAGCCAATTTTAGGCTTAAAACAAATATGCAAATGTGCAAACACTGGAGTAAGTCCTTCGAAGAAATTATTTTCCTGGAGAAATAATTTGTTGTACTCCATCATAAAACATACATTCTTGTAGATAGCTGGACATACAACAGAAAGATAAACACGTCTGATCTTCAGGCCAGCCCCTGGATAACTTTATAATCTTCGCCAAGCAACGAACCTTTTGACGTTAAAAGGCAAGAATTTAATCGTAGTGACGGAAATACCAAATTCTGGTCCATTGAGATGTCCCTAGACCAAGTTAGAGAAATAACAGCAAATTTACCGTTTCATTCACTGATACTGTTGAGAAAAATGCATCAAATCCCATTCATTCAAAAACATGGCCCGGTTTGAGGGCAATGAACTTGCCAGTGAGAAGGGGTTGGCTCAGCTAGTTTCACATTCAGTGCCCCAGTGAGGCGGGTTGAACATAATTCATATAGTTATCTTCATTTAACAGGGCTGAGAAATAAAAGCAAAGAACTATCTTAGGGTTACAGGACCTATCTAGGGAGATGCCCAAATTGTCCTGATTCTTAAGAGTTGAGTGGTCTCTCTAGGGAACCAGGTGCCATGGTGTTAGAAAGGCAAACACACTGAGTATAGAGCTGATGAATCACTGTATTATACATCTGAAACTCATGGAACACCGTATGTTAATGCCATCGGAATTTTAAAAATTAATAAAAGAATGCAAGTGCTTTCATAAACTTTCTACATAACTAGGCAAGTTGGTGAACTATTACAATGTAACATGGCAGTTCTATTTTTGAACATGTAATATAGGAAAAAATTTATAGTTGCAAAGACAACGCATTTCCAAGCATTTTTGCATGATTACACTCCCTTAAAAACCAAAACCACCAAAACATACTGGGGTGGGGGTGGGGGTGGGAATGCCACTTTAACAAACATAAAGCTACAAAATTCTGTTTTCTTTAAAAGTCTTTTCTTTCAAGTTGCCTTATTTTCAGATGGAAGTAATAAAAAATTAAACTGCAGCCCTAAACCATTTCATCTTCAAATAATACGGCTATAATAATTGTGGTTTCTAAAAACTGGAGCCAAAAATATGTTCATTTGTCACAGAGAAATATAAGTATTTTGTAACATTATGAGGGAAACTATGCTAACACCCAGCATGAAGATATTAAATCTGGAATGGCCCTTGGTGCCAGTACAGATCGAACAGTATTTTCTAAGGCAATACAGCCAACTTCAATTCCTCATTACTGGACATTATTACACCTTACACCATTCGCTTCTCAAACCCATCACTGCTCACTGGACTGCCCCATCACCATTCAGCTGGGATAGTGGTAATTGATGAAATGTTGGTGAAGTCTATTTATAATGCTTTGACTGAAATATGCTTGAAGTTAACAGCCTATAGTTTCAACTGTCCATGAATTTGATTTTCTGCACAACTTCAATTCTCCAATATAAGGTCAATTAATATTAGGCTGCAGATTGACCTAGATCAGTCATTTAAAAAAGTAACTGGAAATTATGGGGCGCCTGGGTGGCTCAGTAGGTTAAAGCCTCTGCCTTTGACTCAGGTCATGGTCCCAGGGTCCTGGGATTGGGCCTCAAGTCAAGCTTCCTCCTCTCTTTCTGCCTCTCTGCCTACGTGTGATCTGTCAAATAAAATCAATCTTGAAAAAAAAAAAAAACCTGAAAATTTCAACAGAAAAATTAAATTTCATTATTTCTCACCAAAATCCGCAATTCAACATGCATCTTTGTGTGACATGTCAGCTGTCATAGCACATACTGGCCCCTGTTCTGTTAATATAAAAGCTTCCTGAGACGTCCGGGTTACATGAACTAATTGCCCATCTCACCTTTAAATATAGCGAATGTCCGTACCCAAGGATAATCAGTGATAAGAAACATAAGTCCATCCTTCGATCTGAGGTTCTTGGACCCTGAAATTCTATTTTAGCGCAATAATTCCGGAAGGTGGTTTCCAGACCACCAGCCTCAAATTCCTTGGCAAATAATATTTCTGTTCCACCAAATTTAGAAGACCAATGGAGGCAAAAGAGGGCTTTCTACAGTTAGGACAGAGAGAGATCAGTGAATGCTACTTGGCCTTTTTCAAGCTCAGAAAAGCCAAGTGATGTTTTTGAAAACTCTTAATACAAAGGTTCTCCGAGAGAAGCACCACTGGGATCCACAGCACCTACACATTATGGAATAAATCAGATCTTAACTGAATGACTCCTCAGGCCAAATGACCCAACGTGTCCTGGTTTCAACAAGATAAACTCAAAAAACTCAAAAAGAAACGAAAGGAAAGGCAATAACTATGAAAAAGCAATATTTGTTGTTTTTTTGTTTTTGGGCTCAGTTGAAGCGTGGTCACTCTCTTTCATTAGTTAAAAAGCTTGGGGGAACTGAGAACAATCCAAGAAATGCAGCTGAATGCTAGGATGTCACGAGAAGACTCTGGAGGATGAGTTTTCTCTGATTTCAATTAGCTATCAAGTGTTCTGCTGGGGTATAACTTGTCTTCTAGCCCACAAACTTTTAAAAACAAGTCACAAAATCCACATTAGAATATAAGTTTTTTTAATTTTTATAAATAACTTATCTGTTACAAAGATAGTTTACCCAGCTAAATCACAAAACCATCAACTCAAGATATCCAAATTACGTTTTATTAATAAAACAAGTAAAAACTGATTTATCAATCTTCACATAGAACTGCAGATGAAGCTGAAAAACAAGGCCTAGTTTTAAAACAAAATGCATCAAATGTAAGGGCTTTGGGTCTATGGTCTAATTAACTATAGGATTGTCATATTTCTTCCCATATACAAGATGCAAAGCCTGGAAATCAAGGCTCTGTATAGATCACCTGTAATAATCCTGCTTATTTAAAAAATATCCATTTGCAGACATTTACAATGGGTGACAGTCAACATTATCTCCTCCCTTTTGCTACGTTTCAGCACTTCCCTTAGCCCCATTCTAAGCACTGACATATAATTTCATAATTGTTTTTAAAAGGCATACTGTTCTTTTTCTCGATTTCATTTAGTTATATACATTCCCGATCATCTGAATATTTATTTTCCTTATAAAAATATATCATCAAAATAAAGAGATGCTTGAGGTTGCTTCAGTGTTCAAGTTTGCTTGTTTTTCTTTTTTCCAGCTTTCCTTCAGTTGTCCTAAATATGACTAGCCTCATTTCATAAATACACATGATACTGCCACCAAGTCAGGTTTAGAGACGGACTGCCCCGACAGGAAAGCGTTTAAACTTCTCCCGGCATCGGGGCGGTAGGTACTGCTGCTGTTGCTGCTTTCTGAGAACCGTACTTTCCCCATAGTGATCTCTTGCGGAGGTTCTGTGGGACACCCGGCAGACGAAGCAAGCTTAACCTCGGTGCTCTGTCAGTGGGTTAAAAATACCTTTTGTTTCAAGCTTCCCTGTGGAAGGTCAGCGTGCTGCGCCACCCACTGCTGACGTCGGCAGCGGAGTGTGACTGAGAGACCTACGGCCAGTAGCACTTCCTGCAGGTCAGCGCGCAGCGTCTGCACGTCTTCACAGAACGTCGGCACTCAGGAGGGCAAAGTACAGAGTGAGTGGAGGAGAGTTATTGTGGGCAAAGTTTCCTTAATGCTTTTTTATTTTAAGGCACTGCTTCTCTCAGGTAAGGCTTAAAAAGGGACATGATCGTGCTTAATCACTAACAGGAGAAAAGAAAATTAGTTAACAAAAGACTATTACGCTATACATATAGAAATATAAGAAAATAATAAGAAAAGAAATCACTTAAAGCAGACTCGAGAGATCTGTACAGTAGGAAAAGCTTTGGGACATTTCACTGCATGTTTGTACAGACAATGCATGCTGCTTTCCTTTTCATCTTTAGACCCCAGATGCTGGCTTCACAGAGTGGAGACGTTTTCAGGGAAGACAAGGACGAGGCCAAGAGTACCACAGATTAACGAAGTTCTTCCCCTATCCGTTGGCACCGTGCGGCAGCAAACAGTTTTTAAATAGTTAAACCTTGTTCCTTTTCTTCATGTTTGTAGTGTTTCACCGAAAGCTTTAAAAAAAAAAAGCCATCGTTCTATTCCTTCCTCCTGTCAAAATTCAGTAGTGACATGAGGGGGAAAAGGTACTGGGCACACCTGGGCATGAACATACTGAGAATCATCCTCAATGGGCTACTGGTAACACTGTACATGGTTAGGCAGCAGGCAACCGAGTCTCTCAGCAGATTCCCTTTCATGTGATGAATTTCAACTGCCCATGACATTAGACTGAGGTATTATTAGCTCTGTGGGTTGCCATCTAACATTAGCACAACACCATCTCGTCACACCTTCAATTTGACAAAAATCCTACGTAGCAGTGAAACTTTTCCCCTGATGACAGACTAGTTTCTGGAACTTATGATGTGGTTTCAGAGCTAAAGGGCCTTTTGGCTCAGAAATGCCTTGGCATCTCACACTGTTCACAGCGGATTAAGGCTGGATGGTTTAAAAAAGTACAGGCAGTACAATTCCACTGAGCCCCCTCATCATCTTCTGTGTCTTGAGTCTTTGGTGTTTTGATGGTGGACCTTTGATCTGTAAGGAGGCAAAAGAAATGTCTTAGAAGCAAACAATTACAAAATCGTAAATTACTGGCAACCTGAAGCACCATTTGGGCCACACAGCACTCAGCAGCCTGTTGACCAATGAGCGTCCAGTGGACACTGACACCCACACCTGATCCGCACCCGCCTCCAGCAAGCTGGTGCTTCTCCCCTGGGGAACACAGACACAGACATGATGGGGTCACCTCACTGCCTCCTTCGGGGGAAAAGAGCATCATTTTCTCCGGTTGATAGCAGGAGGAAAGGGAAATCAACTCATGGGAACCAACAGCAAAGATTCCCATAATGTCACCTTAGGACTGTGAAAAGGTATCCTACCACCATACTGACAGTAAGTCTGTGTCTCATTAAAGTTAGATTTTCCTTCCCCACTGATGAAGAACTTCTATTTCTGTTTTCTACCAGGAGTGGACATTTTTGTTAAATATTCTCTATTTGCTAAAAAGGTAAGCTGTGAACAACACAAATAAAAATAGAAAGATGAGCTAATTTCTGAAATCTTAACTATATCTCAACAAAGATTTGGAGAAGTTTATCAGTGTAAAAATTCTACCTTTGTTTCTCATTTTATTTTAAAATCATATTTATTACAGAACAGTTAGAAAGAACCCTAGATTGAGGTTTCTGAGAATGGAGTTCTGCTCCTGACTCTGCTTCTCACTTATTCACTTTTCTCTTCTGTGATCTTAGATAAACCACACACCCTTCAGGTCTAACTATTTCCTATGAAGTGAAGCTACTGCAGCTTTAAGACGCCGTAGTTCCAGAATGTGTGAAAGGATTAATGTATCCTAAATTTAAGGAATGATTACATTCCTCCAAGGTTGTGTCTAAGATGGAATTACATTTATGAAACTACTTTTGTGGAGGGAGGATCCCATTAGAAATTCAGGATATTATTCCTACAAATTAGTTTGGGGAGGTTTAAAGTAAAAGGAGCATGCACTGTTGGAGCTCTCAAGGTTTACAATGTAAAGACTCAAACATGTTAAGACATTGTATACTCATTTGCAAATTCCACCTACTCTACTGAGTTGGTAATTAAATGATATCTTTTCTGATAATCTAAAAGAAACTCACTGTATCTAGCAGGCAAAATAGAGGAAGTCAAGCTTTTGTAACAAATGTAAAATAATTAAGAGATGCTTGGTATTCTGTCCCATTATTTTTAAAAAAATGTATTATTTTAAAATTATTGGAAAGAGAGAGAGGGGAGACTCCCTGCTGAGCAGGAAGCCCAACGTAGGGCTCAATCCCAGGACCTAATCCCAGGACCTAGAAATCAATGAACTGAAATGAAGGCATCGGATGCTTAACTGACTGAGCCACCCAGGCACCCTTCTGTCCCCCTTTAGCAGCATCTTATTTACTGATTAGTCTTAAGGAACACTTTATTGCAAAACTTTCAACTTTAGGCACTGTTCACAATTTTAGGGATCATGACACTTTTTGCCACATTCAAGAGCAATTTGAGAATGCTATTTATAAAATAATCATTTTTTTGAGTAATATAATTGAGTAATAAGAAAATATCTAAGGCACATCTAAGTAAAAATATTGGAAAAATTGAGACTCTGACAATACTAGTTAATATTTCTTAAACCATATTAAAATAGTTAAAATTTTGTTTTGACTTTTTACCATATAAAATGATTTTACATTTCATACCTGGGAAACATTTTATGGACTGATTGTTTTAATTTGGGGCTCCATCCTACTTCCTAGAATTTTGGTCTCAATTAGATGTTAGAAAATATTCCTACCTGGCACATTTAAAAAACTGTCTACCTTTTCTACTTAACTACAAAGGTTTTTAGGAAGGTAGACCATTTCTATTAATATTTTAATCTATTATTAAATATCAGCACCTTCTTCATTATTGAAGTAATATCCAAGGCAATCAATAGCTAACATACACTTTTTTTTTTTTAATGAAAAATCTCCAATGGTTTTCTTATTGCACAATCTCATTTGCTGGTTAAACTTACAAATCTTTTTATTAGAGGTATTCGGAAACCAGAATTTAAGAGGAAGTTAGACTGCAAAGGTTGGCTTGTGATTTCTGCAGTAATTTTAGCTATTTAAAAAAAACAAAACACTGCAGTGTAAAGCAGAAATGCAAAATCAGTTCTAATTAAATAAATCTCTATAAATGAAACTAATAATTCTTTATTTTAGCTGAAGGTAAAATGTTTGATTCTGTATTTCTCCAAAATAGCATAAATAGATAGAAGCACACAAAAGCTTCTATCTTTTGTGGAAAAGCTTTTAATAGAGTTTTTTCTTGTTTTCCTTTTTTGGGTAATAATTACTGTATTTCAAATTTGACATGTTATAAACTTTTAAAGTTGAAGTATAGTTGACACACAATGTTATATTAGTTTCAGGGGTACAGCAGAGTGATCCAATAATTTTATACACTATACAAAGCTCACCATGATGTAGTTACCATCTGTCACTGTACAGAGTTATTACAATATTATTGACTATATTCTTTCTCTATGCTGTACTTTTTATCCCTGTGACTTAATCTATTTTATAACTGGAAGTGTGTACCACTTAATCCCCTTCACCTACTTTGCTCATCTCTCCCCACCCCAGTGACCATTAGATTGTTCTCTGTATTTATTAGTCTGAATCTAAAACAGATGTTGTTTGTGTTGTTGCTGTTGATTTTCTGGATTCCACATATAAGTGAACTTATATGGTATATTATCTCTGTCTTATTTCACTTAGCATAATACTATTTAGGTTCATTCATGCTGTTGTGAATGGAAAGATTTCATTCTTCTTTATGGCTGAATAATATTCCACTGTGCACACGTGTGCACACACACACACACACCCCATCTTCTTTATTCATTCATCTATCAATGGACACTTAGGTTCCTTCCGTATTTTGGTTATTGTAAATAATGCTGCAAAAAACATAGGCATGCATGTATCTTTTTAAGCTACTGTTTTCATTTTCTTTGGGTAAATATCCAGCAATGGAATTACTGCGCTGCATGGGATTTCTAATTTTTGAGGAACTTCCATACTGTTTTCCACAGTAGCTACACAAATTTAAGTTTCCACCAACAGTGCACAAGGGTTCCCTTTTCTTCACATCCTCATCAGTACTTTGTTATTTCTTGTCTTTTTTTTTTATTGTTTTAAATTTTTTTGTCTTTTTGATATTAGCCACTCCTGACTGATGTGTTATCTCAGTGTAGTTTCGATTGGCATTTCCCTTTATGATGAGTGATACGAGCATCTTTTCATGTCTGTTGGCCATCTGCATGTCTTTGTTGGAAAAATGTCTATTTAAGTCCTCTGCCCATTTTAAAATTGGATTATTTGGGGGGTTTTTTGGTGTTGAGTTGTAGGCGTTCTTTATATATTTTAAATATTAATCTCTTATCAGATATATCATTTGTGAATATCTTCTCCCATTCAGTAGTTGCCTATTTGTTTTGCTGGTGATTTCCTAGCTATGCAAAAACTTTTTAGTTTGACAACTGCTTTTGTTTTCTTTGCCTGAGGAGACATATCTAGAAAAATGTTGCTAAGGCCAATATTCAAGATATTACTGTCTATGTTTTAAGAGTTTATGGTTTCAGGTCTTATCTATAGGTCTTTAATCCATTTTGAGCTTATTTTTATATATGATATATGGTGGTCCAGTTTCATTCTTTTGCACGAAGCAGTCTAATATTCTCAATTAACTGAAGAGACTGTCCCCCCACCCCCCCCACTTACTTTGTTGTAGATTAACTGATGATTTAAGTGTGGGTTTACTTCTGGGCACTCTATTCTGTTTCATTGGTCTATGTGTCTATTTTTGTGCCAGCACCGTATCTTGAAATCTGGGACTGTGATACTTCCAGCTTTGTTCTTTCTCCAGGTTGCTTTGGCATTTGGGGTCTTTTGGGTTCCATACAAATTTTAGGCTTATTTGTTCTAGCTCTGTGAAAAATACCATTGGTATTTTGGTAGAGACTACACTGACTCTCGGTATAGATTGCTTTGGTAGTAGACATTTAACAGTGTCAGTTCTTCCAATTCATGAGCATGGTATATCTTTCCATTTGTTTGTGTTGTCTTCAATTTCTGTCATCAATGTCTTACAGTTTTCAGAGTACAGGTATTTTTTCCTCCTTGGTTAAATTTATTTATAGGTATTTTAGTTTTCTTTGATGCAATTATGAATGGGATTGTTCTCTTAATTTCTCTTCTGCTACATTGTTGTTAGTGTATAGAAATGCAACAGATTTCTGCATATTAATTTTTGTGTCCTGCAACTTTACTAAATTCATTTATTAGTTCTAATAGTTTTTTTGGTGGAGTTTTCAGGGTTTTCTATATCTAGTATCATGTCATCTGCAAATAGTGACAATTTTACTCCTTCCTTATCAACTTGGATACTTTACTTTTTCTTTTCTGATTGCTGCAGCTAGGAACTTACAGTTGAATAAATGTTGAATAAAAATGGCCAAAGTGGGGATCCTTGTCTGCTTCCTGATTTTAGAGGAAAAGCTTTCGGTTTTTCACCAGTGATTATCATGTTAGCTACAGGTTTACCATATATGGCCTTTATTTTGTTGAGGTCTGTTCCCTACAAACCTACTTTGTTGAGTTTTTATCATAAAGAATTTTGAGTTTTGTCAAATACTTTTTCTGCATCACGTTTTTTTTTTAAAGATTTTATTTATTTATCTGACAGACAGAGATCACAAGCAGACAGAGAGGCAGACAGAGAGAGAGAGGAAGGGAAGCAGGATCCCCGCTGAGCAGAGAGCCCGACGCGGGGCTCAATCCCAGGACCCTGAGATCATGACCCGAGCCGAAGGCAGAGGCTTTAACCCACTGAGCCACCCAGGCGCCCCATCTGCATCACTTTGTTAATGTGGTGGTGTATCATGCTGATTGCAGTCAAATGCTCTACCCCTGAGCTATACCCCTTGTATCATGCTGACTGATTTGCAGATA